AACATTACATTATTATATTATAAGCAAGTGATGTTAAAATTTAAGCCAAAAGTCGGCTATATAATGTCAAAATTAGCACCGGCGGGCATTTCAATCAAGTTGTCCAACGATTTGGGGTTAAAAGTTTTATTACATTGCCACGAGGAAGAATCTGTTTATACATGTAGGGTGCTCCACCATAAATAAATATCTCGACAAATAAATCAGTTTCGCACATTATTAGTCACTAAATAAACGGTCATGTTGTACTTAACAAGCTATGAGTGTGCATTTAACCATCGATAAATAATAGACTGAACCAGTGGCTGTTAGGCAGGATACGCCCACATTTTGCAAGAGATGGATAGAGAACAAGCTAAAAACAAACGGGATTTTTTGTACATCAGGGACAATAATCCAAAAGTTATGGTCTGAAATGCGCAAATATCAAAAGGATTTAGATCTTTGGGATATAAAGATATGTTTTAAGTTTCATCAGAATCTGATAAAAAATTGTGACCTAGAGGGTCCACAACCTTCGTATTGCATACTTTTACACAATTTGCGTACAAATAGCGGCCATTTTGTCGGGCAGTTTCATTTCGATTTTCCCGAAATTCAAATTCAACCTTCATTATGATGGAATAGTGAAATATTTAAACGGTTTTTAAAAACGGAAAAAAAATTGTGACCTCTGGAGAATCCGCAAGCTAAAAATGCGATTTTTTGAACAATCAGGAGCCATAATTCAGGAAGTTGCGTTCGGATACACGCGATTATCAAAAGGAACCACGATCTTAGTGTGTAATGGTGATATATTCACATGTTTTTTTTAAATCGGATAAAAATTGTGGCCTCTACATGGACGGCAAGCTAAAAACGTGATTTTTTGTACATTCAAGGGCCATAATTCAGGACGTTACGACCCGATACGTGCGAATATCGAAAGAAACCAAGATCTTTGGGTTATAAACATGTATATCAACTCTCGTCAAAATCGGATCAAAATTGTGACATCTAGAGGGTCTACAAGCTTGATATACCAGATGCTATACACTATTTGCGTACGAGGGGTGGCCATTTTGTCACAAAATTCGAACTCAACCAAAATTACGGTGTAACAGTGATATATTTGAACGTTTTTTTTTTTAAATCGGATAATAATTGTGACATTTTTCGTACAATCAGGGGCCATAATTCGTGAAGTTACTATCCGATATGCGCGAATATCGAAAGGAACCAAGATCTTTGGGTTATAAACTTACATTTCAAGTTTCATCAAAATCAGAAGAAAATTGTGACCTAGAGGGTCCACAACCTTGATATACCATATTTTTACGCTATTTAAGAACTGGGGCGGCCATTTTGTCTGTCAGTTTTGGGCCGATTTTCACCAAATTCGAACTCAACCAGCCTTTTTTAAATTGGATAAACATTATGACCTCTATAGGGTCCACAAGCTAAAAACGCGATTTTTAGTATAATCACTAATCAGGGGCCATAATTCTGTAAGTTACGGTTCGATATGCGCGAATATAGAAAGGAAAAGAGATCTTTCGGTTATCGGATAATATTTGTGACCTCTATAGGGTCCACAAGCTAAAAACGCGATTTTATGTACAATCAGGGGCCATAGTCCATGAAGTTACGGTCCGATACATGCCAATATCGAAAGGATCCGAGATCTTAGGGAGATAAACCTATATTTTAAGTTTCGTTGAGATCGGATAATAATTGTGATCTGTAGAGTGTCCACAAACAATTGTGGACGGACGGACGTTCGGACGGATAGGGGCGACGACAATATACGTCCACATGAAAATGTGGGCGTATAAAAATGGTTACGAGTGTCGGCCATAACATGTGGGCACTTTTGAGTAAAAAATATAACATGCGGGCACTTTTGAATAAAAAATAGGTTACGTGTCCTTGTTTTGAAATTAGTCTCGCTTAACCAGGAAACATAACAGGAAGCAGGAAACATAACAGGAAGCTGGAACAAGCAATTGAATTTAGAAACACGAACATTAGGCAACTCGACAATTGTTTTAAGAACCATGTAAAAGTAAAATGAAACTACTGCTAGTATCATGTTCTTGCCTAACCCGAGTGTTTCAGAGATTTTTATTTGTACTAAACCAAAAGATGCCGCTCCTAAAGGTATAGTTAATGATAAAGCAATTTAAAAAATAAAACGAACGTAATTTCTAAAGCTGTTGTAATAACCAATAACCTAATATTACTGCTATTCAGAATCGTCAACAATAGATTTTTTACGGCGGTAATAGTTGATAGATGTGTAGATGTGTAGATGGCTATCTATATAGACTCTTGCGCTGAGTGTTATCGCACCGCGTAACTAACCTGTTGGAACTTTTTTACATTCATTCACATTGAACAAAGGCACATTCTTGCCCATATACATACATATTTCCTCTTGAACAGTGTGTTATTAAACTCATCTATTTACAGTTGGAAGGATGTTATACTAAGTAGTTTAATAATAGGGCCAACCTGATATTTTATTTTATATTAATACAATAGCATCAAAGGGGAAAAAAAGAAAGTTAGAGAGTGAATATGAATGGGTTTAATGTTGTGTGAAAATAAATCAATGACTAGGTGTAATACCTTTCAGTATACAGTGCACTCTGTCACATCCGACATCGTACGGGGTAGTTACGATATGTCAGATTACGCAGAGTGTCGGAATACCCAGTTTTCTCAAAACCGGAAATATTGTAACTTCGAAAACCGGAAGTATTATTATAATGTAGCTTCGAACATAGAACTTCGAATCACCAGAATGTTATTCCCTTTAAAAATGATAAACCTTTCTGTACATTCAAAATTGTATTACATTAATTTTTGAATAGGTCAAGTCTGTCGTTAATTTATCTTCTTCGCCGTCTTTAGTTGCAATCTGTTTTACAGACCTAATGCGACATCCGTCTTTTATCTCTGTCCAAGATGACTGACCTTTAAAAGGTCAGATCGCTGTAGTTCTAAGGGTGACGTCACATCACAATGTTTACCAACAAAGCAAGATGGCATCGATAACGCCAAAAAAGATTACTTCTGTGGCTTGTTTTTGTTGTTTTAAAAAAAACGCGAGCAGGTCAATCAGATTAGACGGTAAAAAATGTACTTCTGAAAGAATTCAGAGTAAACAAACAGAAAAAAACGTCAAATTGATGGTCACACGTGCGTTGTTTACATCGAACGTAGTAATATGAACTGGTACGGGCAGAATTATATCGTTTTACCCATTTTACGCCTCCGCGTACTATTTTCTGTACCTATTTACGCTAATTATGGAATATTTTTTTATCATGATATACTTCAAACACCTTTATTTATTTTTCTAATACTAAAAAAAAATGTTTCAGAATTTAATTTGTCGAAAGAAAAAAGTTAATATTTTGTAGTCATTAAGTCGCATCGATGTCATCCTTATTAGTGATTGTAGCGGCCAAGCGAATATTCACTGCGGATCAGTGTGCATTAGTTGATCGAACTCTTGTCTTTGCTATCACGTGTTCATTGATAATGGGCGTACTCGATTCAACGTTCCGGAATTGAATTCTCTCAATCCCAAAAATAGTGACCAGGTCAAGTCTGTCGTTAATTTATCTTCTTCGCCGTCTTCAGTTGATCGCACTCTTGTCTTTACTGTCACGTGTTCATTGATAATGAGCCTACTCGATTGTACGTTCCGGAATTGAATTCTCTCAATCCCAAAAATAGTGACAATTTGGTGAAAATGGGTACTTCGGGCTACAACGCATGCGTCGACTGGATATATAAATATCTCACCCAACCATGCAACCGAAACCTGTTCGTAGTGTTTAATTACATCACAATTCTACCCACACCACCTCCGTCGTCGGGACTGACAGAACTGTTGAGTGACAGGACTGAATTCCGCGTCACTCGATTGTAATTCTGTTAATTCGGGACGTTCCGGACTGTGAATCGAGCATCCCCAGGTCGTCGTCACACGGTTCGAAGAGATCCGTAGGGTAACCAAACTTATAGGTTATTCAGGTTCAATCGGCATGCGCAACGAATGTTTCCAACAGGTGCAAGGAATATTTTTACGACTGTGAATTCGGGGGAAAATTCCTAGATATTCTTAAGTATATGTCCCAACTGTCGTACAAGGGATTAAAATTATCAAAGTAATCAACAAAGACCCACGGTAGCGAGTTTTAATCTCACAGATAATTGATTGGTGATTGCTTGTTAATCTTTTGTGGCTTCACACCCATCCGGTTTTAATCTCACGGATAATTGATTTGATCGGTAAGTGTTTGCTTCACACCCACCGATTGAAGGCCGGATTATACGGTGTCGATTCAATGGAAATCGTATGACGGGACGGCTGATTGCTGTCGTAATCCGGAACGTACAGAGGTCGAATTACCCAGAGATGTTTTGGCTGAAGTAATAAGGAAATAAATCGGGACATGAAAATGGTGTCGGATGTGACAGAGTGCCGGAGGTCGGATGTGACAGAGTGCACTGTATCCGGGTTCTATGTCTATTTATTCCTTCCTCTAGGCAGTAAGCTTCATATTTAAAACTATGATCCATTTTTTTTCTCCACAATTATGAATAACTATAAAATTGTTTTAACAAACCACTTAGACACAATATTCCAGATTAAAGACACATACAGACTTTTAGACCAGTAGTCTAAAGCATATTGGTTTAAAAATCAATCAATTCTAAAGAACACTTTTAAATCCTTATGTTTGTTAAATTTAAATAACGAAAATGACCACTGACCATGTTGTGCAATGGGACTTTTAGAAATAAATGAACTGCAATTTATTTGTCACTTTCTTATGAATAAACAAACCAGTGGAAACCAAAAGGTCTGACTAGCTACAATATTAACCTGTATGTCTATTTGTTTCCACTCCAACACATATTTCAATAAATGTATAGAAGTAATTATGCTTCACAATAAAATTGTAATTAGACAGAAAACTTGTTTAAACTGATTGAATTATAGAAAATAATGTTTTGTCTGGAATGATTTAATTCTACATTTTTTTACAGATGTTATTCTCTTTTTTATAAACATATCAATACTAGTATGTATATACATTTCCATTAAAAAAAAATCATATTAAAATATACAGTTATTTAAAAATAATTATAATAAAAGTAAATCATTGTATTTATACGTTACAAAAATAACCTGCACATTAATCATCTTTTAAAATACATATTGACATAGCATAAAGATTTGATCATTTTTTAAAATAAAAAAATCAAACACAAAATTATCACAGATCTGATAATTCTTAAAACAAAATATAAAATTATTACAAGAATTAAACAATAAATTATCAGGTACAGATCACAGTAATTTAAAAGCCAATTTACAAGGGGCCCAATGTCCTCAATCGCCCATCCGTTAAAAGAGTATTTGTGAATTAAAAGTTTTGCATAGTAAGAATATTCAAGCCTATAACTGCTTTATGACTGATATTTTTCTTGATTAAAAAACAACATAAAAAGGCATATTATAAGATGAAAATATTTTTGTTGAAATATTTAACAATATAAGTAAAACTAATGTTAAAATATGCTAATACAAGCTGCCTGTCTTTGTCCACATGAGCAACATCGTTTGAAAAGATCTAAATAATCACCACCTAGGCAACATATATATAAAATTTAGTCGTGATCAATCGAGTGGACTCGAAAAAAAAAAAGAGTACAAAATATCTAATTCTGCACCTTCATTAAGCCACTGGCCAGCACCTATTGGGCAAGCAACTTAATTTGAGCAAATCTATATCAACGCCACACCAGCAACATTCCCACCAAATTTCACTGAACTCAATCAATCAAGAGCTCGAAAATTACTTATTGTTTACGTTGGACAGACAGACAGGCAGAAGGGACTATGAGAAGGATAATTGAGGAAGGGGAGATTAAGTTTTAATTAATTGGTCCTGCAAAACGGCCATACTTGAAAGGAACCCTTTGTCTTTTGCCCCGATTGAAACAGAAAACAGCGAATAATATTGTGAGGAGTAGAATAACTCCGGCCATTGATCCTATAATATAAAACATGTACCTAGGAACAGGTTTCCGACCTGGTTTACCATGATGGTGGTGTGTAGTAAGAACAGGTCTAAATGTGGTATCTCCTCTCCTACTTATACAATCTGTATACTGATCCAAATTAAGATGACGAATAGCACAAATCTGATTCCGTTTACATGTAGAATTACACTGGGGGTTTGTATCATAGCCGACAGTGTTTATTACTAAATATTTGTTAAACATGTAATCATTGTCTCTGAAAGATTCTGACAGACGGTCTAATGATGTAGGAGAAAGATCAGGGATATTAAAAGCCTCTGTTGCTTGATATTCCAGTTTCCAATCTGCTTTATGTAAGCTATTAGCCTCTGTTAAGTTTAGATAATATTGTTTATAATCTATAACCACACCCGTTTCCTTGATATAGGAATATAATCTAATAGACGGATTGTTGGCACCAACTCCAGGTAATGTACTCTTCCATGGTGTAACAGCTGGGCTTAAAAACATTGTATTTATGGCTTCATCTGTAAAGAAATTAAATTCAAAATTTGATCTCTCTTAATATAGATGTGCGAAGATTAACTATATTCAACATTTTGACTACAGTTATTCTGAATTAAACATCAACAGAAAGAAATGGTGTTAATACATCTATGGTATATTTATATTTCAATAATTTGCTTGCATATGGGGTTCTTTAGCTTTGAGGGAAAACCATATTTCGTTTCGTTTTGTAATACTTTCGATGGCCTGCACTACATGAAGATCTGACCAGTTGTAGTAGAAGGTCCTGTTGGAGGTCACACGAGTGGCTTTTGACCCTATGACATCAGACATTTGATTAACCAATCAGCATCAATGTTACTAGTAGATTACCCACAGTTCCGTGCAAAACACGCTTAAAGCTCGCCGTAACAGACCGTTGCATTGGATAATCCCTCACATCATTCAGAACACGTCAATGATAACAACTCTTCTAGATCCTAGTGTAGTAAAGACAAGTAAAACAAAATTTTGAACTATAAAAACGAAGCGAAATAGGATCTGTGTTTTAATCAGATTGCAGACAACCCGACCAACCCTGAACATTGAAATGAACAACTTAATTTTTTAACTCTTTCCAAACATGATTCGTATACTACTCTAATATTATACAGCATTTATTTTGGTACAATTATTTTTCAATCCAATCTGGACACTGTTTCTTCAATTTTTAAAATATTACTTTGTTAAAGGTCCAGTGGACATTCCCCCCTTAGGATTTAGCCTTGAGTTCGTCAGCATAATTCCATTTGATGTAGATAATTAGTTGGTCATGTTTTAGTTCATTTTGGAAAAACATCCCAAATTAAATGCATAGTTTCAAACAATTGTAGCCATTTTTTTTTTTTCAGATTTGAGTGACGTCTGATAATTGACTTACTAGAAGTGTAATTAATAAACTTAACTATATTGAAAATACATAAATACTCTAACTACCAAGAAGACTTACCATGTTGATCTATAAGTAATCTAAAGCTGTCTGTATGTTCATGGCCATAGAACTGTCCTATAATAATATCACTATAATCGGCTATAATCTTTAAATATTGTTGATTAAATTGTGGATAGAACCAGCTTATTCCTGCAAGTCTTTCAAATGCTCCTGGAGGAACATGAGATATGACATAAGCCTAAAATGAAAGAGAAAGGTAAAATAATCTGGTGTCTTTCAGTTAAAGCCCCATCACCACAAAACAAAAGTTAAATACAGATTTTAAGAACGTATTTATTTAAAAGTAATTTATGAAAAAAATAATTTAAATAAATATTCAAATAAATAATAGTCATTTGGATGGTACGGAAAAACCTGAGGTTCTGTGCAGGGCCCTACACTTTGCCATTCATATAAACTAACCCTTGACAGTTAGAATTAATTGCTGTCTGGGCAAAATTTCTTATTAGCACCCTGTATCGTGTATGTCCATCTTCATTAGCCCGGTTCGTGCAGAAAAGTAGGATGTTAAACCCCATTTCATTCATTCATTCAATTCTAACTCAAAGGTTATGGCCATTCATTTAAAATTCTTTATAAAGTTTTTGTTCTTATACACGAATGTCTTTAATTATATAGTACATGTATCTATATGTATCTTGCTTGTTGTGCCTACAGAGTTTTCTCCAACCATATTTAATTACAAAATCATTACTGAATCGCAATTTATTAAAACATGGTGGATATCATGCACGGGGTAGTGTATGCTTACTATTTCTGGAACTAGTCATTGGGTTCACATGGCTGATCATTTTCATTTTATGTTGACATTTTTATTAATTATGGCACTTAATACTATTAATAGTGCATCTAGTTGGTTAATTATGGCACAATGTTTCAGGGACAGGGGCAATAACTCATTGCATCCCTCTGAATTTTGATAGGATTCCCCCAGAGGACTATGTATTCTCACATGATTTGTTGGTGCATAAAAATTATGTAAAGGTTGAAACACAATTTGCCCTGGTACAGTTAGTATTGTATAACTAACCTTTTCATTCTTTAATCTACAATCTATTAATTGTTTTTCAAACCATGCTAATTGTCCAGCTGGGTCTTCCATGTCTTTAACTAGTGTATCCAGTTGATAATATAAGTTGGTATTTAAAGCTAGTAGACGTAAATTTGATTGAATGTGAAAACTATAGTATCCACCTACAAATAAACAAGACATTTTGTTTAAAAAATAAACAATATTGGTGTGACCAAAACACTAGTCTTTGGCAACTAGCTAAAGCTATGCAATACCTTTTCAATTTCCAGGTTACCATTCAACATTCAACCCTATTTTATTTATGGTGTTTGTGAAATCTAGGACTTTCACTTCAGAATTGAAGTACCGGTACATAAAATCAACATTCAAATTCCAGAACACAAAAATGCCATATGACCGTTTATTTTTAAACTCTTGATACCTATCTGACATATATTTTAAATTGTATTTCTTAATTAGAATTAAATGAAATATAATTTTAAAATCATGATACTTAATTCTATCATTTTGTCTTTGGAATTGTTTTTCCCAAGTTCCTTTAAATTTTTATTATTTACTATTACTTCAATAATCATCACACAGAAAAAATAAATTTTACAAATCATCCTTACCCAGAAAAACATAATTATTTTTTCTGCCCAATAGTTTACCTTATAGCTCAATCTCTATTACAGAGATAAGTTTACCCTTCGTTTATCTCTGGTAAAACTCGCTGGTCATTAATCAGCATGAAATCGGATCTTAAGTGGGATTTGTTGGAATAAAATGCTGCCTATTTCTCGACAATTAGGCATCAGTTGATTGCCTAATTGTTACATATTAATGATCCTTGGAACATTTTTCTCATCTTGACATCAAGATTTGATGATTTACCGCGAACTATTTTTAGCACACAATGTGAGAGATTCAGCTAAATATGTGAAAATTGTGAAGAAACACAAGTTTCGCAAGTTTGAGCTGTTATCTTGGATCTTTGTGAAGCAACAAAAGGATACATTCAAAATGGATGGCGAGTTTTACCAGAGAGAATCGAAGGTTAAATTATCGCTGTGATTGAGATTGCTTGTAGCTATCCAGGTTAAAATATACATGTAATCATTTAATCAAACTGTTTCTACTCATATGGGGAGCCACCGTGGCTCAGTGAGGGAGTCACTGGCTCACTAACAAGGAGATCTCTGGCATGTTCCCGGTGTTGGCTGAGAAAGTTCCTCTGGATTTTACAGTGAGGTTTCCCCCTTGTCAGGGACCTGGCAAAAAACAGTGTATAGTCATTTGGATGGAATGAAAAACTGAGGTTCCGAGTACATATTGGCAGGCATGTAAAAGAAGTTAAAGAACCCTTGAGAGAGAGAGAGAGAGAGAGAAATGGGGTTTAACGTCCACTCGACATAAACTAGGTCATTTCGGGACTAACATATGGTTTAATTTTATTTCAATAATTCACTTGTGCGTAGGGGTTATTAGCGTTGGGAGGAAAACGGAGGACTTGGAAAAAACCCAGGAGGTTGAACAGGCGACCCTATTCCTTGTCACGTACCACCGCGGAATCGAAACCCCGCCAGTTGACTCAATGACAGACCGTATGATAGAGCGCAGCGCGCACATGCTAACCATTCCGCCATCCAACCCCCCCCCCCAAAGAACCCTTGATAGTTGAATTTCAAAATAGGAGTTGGCCATAGCATCGCTGTCCAGGGAAAATTTCCCTCAAGGCACACTGCATGGTGTATGCCCGCCTTCATTAGCCCAGTTAGTGCAGAAAAGTAGGACATTAAACCCCATTTCATTTCATTTCTATATGCTATGGTATAAAAACAAAATCTTTATCTTACCATTGTTAAACTGTCTCTGTTGATCACTGTCTAAAATGTTTTCCCATTGTGATTTTTTTAATATTCCACCATAATAACCGTCACTAGTACCAGCAGGCATCTGGTTGGCTGGGTATGGATCATGGTTACCAAGAACTGGGAAAATTGAAATATTGGGGAAAACTTCTGCTAATTTTCTAGTTACATTCCCAATGATCTTGAAAACTTCAGTTCTGTCCAGTTCTGAATTATTGACATGTGGAATGGAATCCCTGAAAACAAATCGCACACAATAATATTGATTTAAGGTTACCGTACTTTAATGATTTAAAAAACAAAACAAAGCAAAAAAGCCCCTGAAACATTTTCTTTTAATGGCGTGTTACTATGGACATATATGCATCGTGTTCTTTGTGTGATGTGCATTATTTTTAATGAATGTACTGATTTAGTAACTAATTTTCAATAATTTGATTTCACAAGATCAAGGTGGTAGAGAAATTTAAAATTTTAATGAACAACTCAGACCCTGTGTGGAAGGGTGATAATTTCTTAAAGAACTACTTCCCTTAGATAGCTGTCTAAATTGGTCGCAAGCAAAAACAAGAACCTATTACACTACAGAATTTGCCCACAAATTCTATACATGTACACTATATGTACCAAACTGATCAGCAGTAATTGCTTGGACGTCAACATCGATGACTGGGATGACATCAGGGTGAGTTAATTAGCCATTGATATTATTATTAACTTTATTTCTTCTGAAAATTAAATTCTAAGAGAAATTTTTCCATCACTAAGGACAAAAATAAAATGGTGTTTGAAGTATATCTTGCAAAATATTTCCTAGTTAGTGTAAATGGGTATATAAAATAGAATGCTTGGGCGTAAAATGAGCAAAAGGTGCCAGTTCTGCCCGGACCAACTTGTACAGTGTCATAAGAAACATGTACCTTATTGGAGTTACTATGCATCATCACTCTAACAGCCTTCAGGCAAATATGAGTGGTGGACAGATTCAATTTCATATTTTTGTATTGTATGCATTTGTTTCCTGGAAATATTTTTATTTATAAAACCAAATCATACAAACCCAGTCCAAATGATGAAATCTGGTTCAGCATTATTTGCTCTCATTCCTTCAATAGCAGATGTAACTAATTGCCATGGTGAATCACACAAAAAATCTCCATAAATGCCAAGTTTTGTAGCATTGTTTAATTTACTGGTACTTTGATGACACATATCCGTTGGAACACCAGAAATACTGTAGTTTCCATCATAGTGAATGTCAGTGATTTGCCAAAAGAAACCTAGAGAAGATAATACATATACAGTGGTTATTATTAAAGTGGAGTACTGCTGCTGAAACCTTTATGTAACCACTTACATGTACAATGTAGCCTATATTGCAATATTTTTACAGTATTGCAATATCTCTGTATATTGTAATATATGAAAATCATGTAATATTTTGTACCATATTTCATCAAAGTAATGCGCATATTTTAAATTTAGTACCGGTAATATTAACTTCCAAAAAGTTTAATTTGATTAACTGCAATTTGATTAAAACACAGATCCTATTTCGTTTTGTTTTTTAGAGCTCAAAATTTCGTTTTACTTGTCTTTACTACACTAAGATCTGGAAGAGTTGTTACATAACCTGCATCTGGTTGATGTGAGGAATTAGCCAATGAATCTGGCTGTTACGACGAGTTCTTGGTATCCCACTAGAAACATCAACACTGATTGGTTAATCAAATGTCTGACATCATATGGTAAAAAACCGCTCGTAAGATCCTGAACGGGACCGTCTACTACAAATGATAAAAATGGTCAGATCTTCATGTAGTGCAGGTCATCAAAAGTATAAAAAACGAAACAAAATATAGATCTGTATTTTAATCAGATTGGATTGACTGCAAGCAATGGTTATCTGAATATCTGGGTTTACAAAGAAAGGTATTTTTTTTCAAGTTATCAAATCAAAATGACAATTTGACATAAACAACAGTAAATGTTATATGGATAAATTACTCAAATTACTGTCATTTGGTTTGGGTAGATTTGGGTGGACTTGTGTGTAAATCGAACTACCAAAAATCAAAGGTTTTGTATCTTTAGAGTGAGATTGTACACTATAAATTAAACAAGTCACTTATTAATTAGGTCGAGGGTGGAGCAGTGTTACAAACTGGGTTGTTTTAATTATAGCTTACCTACTAAATCCAAGGATTGTTTATTTCGTTCAAAAGATAATTTTGCCGCATTTGTGTGGGAAATGAGGCCAAGAAAGCATAGTACCACATACAAATACATAGTTACTGTACATAACAAAACGGAGATATTTTACTACAATTGTTTAAAACTCATTTATCCCTTCCGATTTGACTGAACTTTGAAACATGAATAAGAAAGAAAACAACGAAACATAAACCAAAGAAAGTCCAAGGGACACAACTCCCATTTTTTAATTCTGTGAGTGTGTTTGATTCATTTGAATGTTCTGGGAGCTTATGTCAAATAAACGCACGAGACTCTTCAATGATTTTAATACTTTGCAAATCTGAAAGCCCCTTTGTTTTAAAAGTATTATAATATGTGATCAATTGTTTTCGTTTCAGAAAATATTTTGGTACAAAATGTCTATGTCGAGATTTCCGCTTTGGGATCATAATTTCTTTTATTATTTTATTGTATATGTAAATGCATTTGAAATCATCTTATCAAATAAGTTCAACTCGAGTAAGCATTACGATAAGATGAATAATAAATAATATTCTACATCCATAAAATCAACCAGATAACAATTTGATTAAAATTTAATTCAACAACAATAAGGTCTCCCTTGACTATCGGGAAACATGGCGGCGGTGGAAAGAGAATTGCGTGATGTTGCAGCATATTTAGGGGTTCCATGTGGAAAAATAACGTTTAATGAATTGGTATTAACTAATTATTTGCTACATGAAATACATTATTTGCTAACCACTAAGATTATACTGTATTCCACGTGGAGACGTGCAGAATTTTAAATCTGAGATCAATGTTAATAATGTAATCAATGAATTCAATATGACATGTGCTATAATAACAGTCAAGTAGCTCCGGGCACAAAAATGGTTGCTTTTCAGTCATGTGTGTGTGATGTCAAAGCATTATATACCCCTCCTGTGTTCCCTGTACCATTTTTTTGAAATTAAAACTGAAGTGTAATCCACAAATATTAGCTAGCTAAAACTTATAAAAATCTTAATTAATTGAATGAACATAAATATCTATAATTATGAGATGAAAAAAACCCCCCAAAACCAGACTAATTCCAGTCTTTAGCATATTTCGGTCATGAAAACAAATAAATCCTGTTTTCTGCAGTAATTATCGTAGACTATCTTATCAACTACCACTATCATTTGATTGGTTCAAAACTATTATTTTGTTCCCATATTAAAACAATGATTTCTTCAATTTCCTTAACACTGAACTACGATTACACATAGGGAGTCATAGTGAGTCACTAACCAAGGGACCCACAAGTTTCGTGGGAGATACATGTACCAGCATTGTTTCCTGTTGTCAGTGGTGCAGGTTGGAGGGCCATGCAAGCAATAATCTGTGACTGTCTTGATTTCGTCATTTATATGACATCTGAATAGGATTTGAAATTAAAGAGAGAGAGAGAAATGCGGTTTAACGTCCACTCGACACAAACTAGGTCATTTCGGGACTAACATATGGTTTAATTTTATTTCAATAATTCGCTTGCGCATAGGGGTCTTTAGCAGTGGGAGGAAACCGGATGCCCCGGAGAAAACCCACGAAGTTGGACAGGCGACCCTACTCCTTGTCACGTACAACCGTTGATTCGAAACCACGCCAGTCGACTCAATGACAGACTTTATGATACAGCGTGCGCACGCTAACCATTCAGCCATCCAACCCCCCATTAAACTAATTAAAGCACTCTTTTAATAAACTACTTTGCTTATAGCCGAGGTACGATGTTACATGTACGTTCAGACTTGGTAATACTAATACTATAGATGTTATTTAACTAAGGGTGGTTGTGTGATTAGATTATAAGTTCTGTCATTGAGTCAAGTAACATACCTTCGATCTCACACTTATACTGACAAGGGGTAGGGTTGTCTGCCTAACCTTGTGGGTGGTCTTCCGTTTCCTCCCACTGTTAAAGATCCTCACCGCGCAAGCAAATCTTTGAAATAAAATTATACAATATGTTAGACTAGAATGACCTAGTCTGTGTTCAGTGGATGTTATACCAGCGATGCACATTTTCAGACGACCGGGACTGGTTATTATTTTCTTGGACGGAGAATTGATTTTCTCTGTGATTATTGAAAGCATTTTAGTTTCAGTGTCCTCAAAATAATAATAGCCGAACAGACATCTTCAGTCACAACTATTATACTACACTAACAGTGCTTCTGGTACTATAAATAACTTTCTTAAAATAAACACATATTTTCTATGGTATCCTTGAAAAGGGTAGAAATAATAAAACTGCAAATCAATGTATGCAAATCGCCCCTAAAAAATTCCATGCAAATAAAGAAAATAATTTGTATCCTTAATATGATTATCACATACTTCTGTTGTCACTGTTTTTCAGGTTCCAGTACTAAATGGAAAAATAAAAGGCTTGACAACAATATTAAAACATTTGACCAGAGAAGCAAAAAATACATATTTATTTGGTATAGAAATCTTTTAATTTTGCCTCGCTGGTGATGAAAGTCATTGAAAGAGAGAAATAGTGATCTTTCCGTAGGCATCAACTTTGGACATCCCTTAGAAAGAATTTTGGGGATACATTTTTTTCAATTATAACCATCAAGCCTTGATAGAACTTTATGAAACTTTGACAGAGGCTTCAGTATTGTTTTACTAAAAGTGCAAACCCATACAACAATAATCACATTACTATTATGATTTAATTAAATATTATTTTAGGTAATAATGCAGAGGATCAAGCTTTTATCGACCAATGGTTAGAATATAGAGTTATAAGTTTAAATACATGTTCCAATGAAAAAGAGCTTAGTAATAGATTAAATGTAAGTTAATGCATTTATAAGTTTACAATTCTTTGCATATCTATGCTAAAATTGTATGTAATAAGCATATTTAAATTTACGGCATTGAGTTTTGACTGAAATTTATCCTGCATATTTTTCTTTTTCAGGAATTGAATTTATATCTTAGTGATAAAGTGTATTTTGTAGGGAATCATATAACTTTAGCTGATGTTTCAATTTTTCAAGCCGTACATGGAATAATGGTATGTTGTTTTTAACCATCGTAAAATCCTTCTGAACTAACGTTGATATTATACTATAAATAGATTCACCATCACAAGATAGTTAATTAGAGGTATTATTACTTCCAACAAGACAATAGATGTAGCTTTCTTTTATATATAATATCATCATTAAATTAACATTCGAATCAATCCCAGCAATGCGTTAAACATTCACTGATCTTTCATAACCACTACAAAATGTAAATGATTCATATGTTTGAAGCCCTAACATATCAGACTGAAATCAGTCAAGGAATTCTGATAACTTTTTCATTTTTTCATACAAACCATCTCATGCATCATATAAGTATTTTATACTTACTTAATACTATATATATATACCGGGGGGGGGGGGGGTGTATTTTAGTTCTATGAAAGGTGCTCTGTTTAATATATTGAAGTCATTAAACAAATGGGTGAGGGGTAGATTTAGGCTAATGAGGTACCTTGCATTATTCTACAACTTTCTTGGGACATTAAACCCCATTTAATTTCATTTCTACAACTTTCTGCCACTATCCATTTCTGGAAGTGTGTTACTGTTGTCCAGCCATCTGGTGCACATATTAGTCCCATTTAAATGGAATAAGGTTGGTGTGAAAGGGTTCCCAAATGAAACACTTACCTAAATATATTAATAGCCTGCCATAATAGATGGCGTATCTAAATGTTTATAAATTAAAGAGTACAATTAAATTTGCTTCAGACATCATGTGAGCTTCTTAGAAGAACATACCTTTAGCCCCCTTGGCTTAGAGGCTGGGATAGAGATCATCATGTAAACTTGAAAAGAAGAGTTATAATTTTCGCCACCGAACACCTACTAATTGATGGGGAACTTCTATTTAGCTTTTATTAACTGCCATAGCTGTGTATTCAGTTTCCTGTATATAACCTTTGTATTATGGATCTTATAAAGATATATACATGTAAACATAGTTATAACAACACAGTGTTCCAGAGTTAATTGATCATTGAGTAACATGGAAGTCTTATTGGATAGGGTCACAGTCCGGTTCCGTGACCAGGATAGTGTCATGCTCAGATGTGCTTAATTACTATTAACAGCAGTCTTTATATTAAGATAGTACATACTTTTCGATTGGGCTTGATCTGCCTTTAATCTTACAATATCTATATGCACAGAAAATTGTCTAAATTTGAATATATCTAATTAAACGGTATAGTCACTCACATGAGGAAAATTATTTTTACAGATCTGTGCTTAACACCAAAGTCAAAATTCCAAATCAAATTGCCGAAAATGTGTCCAGTCATAATCAAAATTCTAGGTTTAAAGATGGGTTCCCAGAAAAGTATTTATCGGGTGGTTATTTCCAATAAAAGTATGGCAATTTTGGTATATATGGAAAGTAGAGATATCCAATCTTACTAGAAAAATACTGGATTCCCCGAAAAACACTCATGGAGCGTATACAGGACAAAAATGTAAGGGTTCCCCTAATCAACAGCCCGACGATTATGACCTTCTGAACGCACGATGTCAAAGGTCACAAGCGAACATTGAGCGCTTGATGTACAAGTTGATAAACTTAATGAAGAGTTAGACGTACAATACTTTCTGAGATAAAAATGACGGAAAAAGAGGCGGGTGGGGATAATCCGAGAATTTAATTAGGATTCGATATTTGTAATAAATAGTAAGCGATTAAAGACAACATCGTCTTCTGTATGCAATGATTTCTCCTCTGACTCCCAAGATGTGACGTAAACATGACCTGCTTTGATCGAATTTTAATAGCAGGGCATTCCTTCGCAATTACAATGTTTGAGAAGGATTTGAAGCATAATTATGACTAATTAATTAGTTTCAATATGTTTTTGGTCCATATATACCATTAAATCACCCAGTTTGTACGCGGGAACCCATCTTTAAAAAAAAAATCTTGTGGGAAAAAAATGAATCCGGATTGTATGAACAGAAGGCATGCTGTTGATCTGTCATACTAACTTGTGTTTGTACCATGCCCTTATTTTATGTGTTGAATAAATCTAATATGAAATCTCTAGAATTGTACTAATAACTAATCAAATGCTAACTCACTTTCTTGAATATAATGAATATGCTTTATTTAATTCAGATGATATTTAATACATATTTACTAGAACTTTATCATATTTCTATCATAGGCTGACATGACATATTCTGAAAAAGAAAAACTGATACACCTTTCTCGGTGGTTAGATAATGTAAGTAGTGATAAATTTCCATATAATAATAATAAAAAATAATTACAAATGTATCAGATCACAGAAAAACTACTGAGATCTAAAATATTATGAAATACATGAAAAATAACATTAATTTGTATTTTGTTATAATTTTTATATTAATTTGTCGAAATGAAATGAAAATGTTATTACCATTTAAACCAGATTTTAATATAACTACATTTCATTTTATTATTTTTTTTTTCTTTCAGATACAACAATGTTCAGAATTACGACAATCACTTCCACAACTTCCTTTCTCTAAAACATTATTATATCATTGATCATCTTTGTAAATAAATATAATTTAATTATTTTGAAATCTATGATTATCGGAATTTTGAAATATAATTGTTGGAGCATAATAGTAGTCTGAAACTGATTGAATACAATAGCGGTCAGATCGAGATATTAAGGCCACGTGCCCTAACCCTGTCTACATCTCGTGACCTTGACAAAATCTTCAGGTGGTCTTAATATTTGGATCTAACCATACGATAGCGTGTATTTATAAATGGGAGAGAACTCTGTTTTTCTTAACAGGACACAATTGGAAATGAAAATGAAATTGGGCTGAACGTTCTACGGTTTTGCACCAACCGGTCTAATCAAGACAGCCATGCAGTATGCTATTGCTATTAGTGAAATTTTGCCCCGACAACGGCACAAAGGCTTACTCATATTTCGAATTCCATTCACATTTATACATGATTGTATCTGTTAACAAGGTTAATATATATATATATATTTCATAACCAGAATATTAGGGTTAGTTACTAGAATGACAGCGACTGATCGAGATTTATAGAGAAATTATTATTGAGTTTGGGCCCCTAACTTTTATTGGAGTATTTCTTTTTAAAACTTAATGGGATTCTGGAGACATTATTTTCGTAACTTTATAAATAAAAAAAACTGAACGACTAATCCGGTAGGATGTGTATGGTTCTGTTCCTGGCAAATTAATATGCCCCACAATTATGCTACACAATTTGAACGATGGTGAACATACTGAAATGGATAAACATATAATATTATGGTCGGACACCACTCTATTATACATGTACATACATCGGAATTTATCGACTATTGATTCCGTTATTAATAATTTGTTACAAGTATGTTGATTATGACGTCACAATAAGAAAACGTTATATCCGCCCAATAGGTATCTCTATGGTTACTTATTGTCTTTCCATCATTTAGTGGTAAAATAGCAAGCAATCCAGTTTAAATAGTAAGTCATAATTTAATTCTTATTAATTTATTTACATTGATGAGTTAATAACCTACAAAAGATTACACACGGTTACTGGGCAGTCCAGATATCTGCTGCTCTATTGAAAAAAAAACCCTTAAAATCTATACGGATCATAGTGCTATTCATGAAAAGTTAATCAAAATCAATTAAGAACCTCCCGTTCAGTACAGGCGATTTTTCCCGGATCATAGTGCTAACTATTTATGAAAAGTTAATCAAAATCAATTAAGAACCTCTGTTCAGTACAGGCGATTTTTCCCGCGTGGCGGGGCAAGTATGAAGCTAATTCACGACATGCACTTACTTTTATGTAATAAAATGGATTCGTTGTATTGTTTTTCATTTTGAGTGAAGTCAGTATCATTTCATGCTCGGGACTGTACAGCGCAAGGGGGATAGGATGACCGAATGGTTAGGACGTGCGCGCTGTATCATAAGGTCTGTCATTGAGTCAACTGGCATGGTTTCGATTCCCCGGTTGTACGTGACGAGGAGTAGGGTCGCCTGCCCAACCTCGTCGGTTTTCTCCGGTTTCCTCCCACTGCTGAAGACCCCTACACGCAAGTGAATTATTGAAAAAAAACTTGAGCCATGTGTTAGTCCCGAAATGACCTAGTTTGTGTCGAGTGGACGTTACTCCCCCCCTCTCTCTCTCTCTCTCTCTCTCTGTGCACAACGCAGTGGACGCTTACGGCTTACCCCCGTATTCATTCACTTGATTTGATATTTGTAGTTTATTTCTTGCAATGATTGAATGTCTGTATAGTTTGTCTTATCCGCACGTTTTTCTTATCGGTATTGTGTACATGTAGCGCGATTCTCCCGCACTTTCTATTACATATGGATTTTTGGTTATTTAAAACTTGCTCGTTACTTTTCGGCAACACAATAATAATATTAGCCAAATTTTAGCAGAATGGTAAATTTAGTTCAGGATTGTCTAAGCTAAAACTAAAAGTTTGACGGAAAAATCTGGTTTCATTCCAGACAATGAAATTGTAATAGTCTAACCCTTTGAATAACATTTTTAAAAAACATACCAATGGTCCTAGCTTTTAATAATAATATGTAAAGTGGGTGCAAGTTTGACATGTTTCTAAAAACTACAGCCTATTATCTGCACATTAATTCTAACGACATTTCTATCCATTTTATTTTTCAATTGTTTACTTTCCCGTACAGTTTTAATTAGTAGGTTACTTTTTATGCTTTACAAATATATACATTTAAAGAGATAATAACAAAATCAACAAATCGTCAATAGTAAACCAAAGAATATAACTAGGGACGTAAATATTATTTAATAGTTAATATTGACAGAACGTCTAGTCGTTATTACGTGTTTCATTGTTTCTGTAAGTGCTTTTTTATATGGGTTTTTTTGTGGGGGGGGGGGGGGGTGTCAGTTTGTACAGCCA